GGGGGGGGCGCAGCGCCCCCCCCAGCAGCACACCAGATCCAAAGGTGGGCAGCTCGTGCTTGCTTGCTTGCTTGCTTGGTTTCGTCTCTGCAACGCAAACAACAGGAAAAGCAAATGCAAAAAGAGAAAGGAGAACAGCTGCCAAAAAGAAAGAAAGAAAGAAAGAAAGATAGATAGATATAGACAGGTAGATATAGACAAATAGATGGATAGGCCAAAAAGCCAAAAGCCACAAAAGCCACAAAAGCCAAAAGCCACAGAAGCCACGAAAGCCACAGAAGCCACGAAAGCCAAAAGCCACAGAAGCCAGAAGCCAGAAGCCACGAAAAAAGAAGAAATCCAAAAAAGGAAACAAACAAAATTCCAAAAATAAATGGCCCTCCGTTTCTAAATCGGGACACTCTGTAGTTTCAGAATCGCAAGTTTCTGAATCGTAGTTTCTGAATCGGAGCTAGTTTCTGAATTGTCTTCTGTTCGCAGTGTACACATTATTTGGCTGTGGGTCAAAATCAGGACACCCGGGTTTACCACCGAAAATGAACAGAATAGACTACTGGCGACGTCAACCTACCAGGGTCAACCGGGCTCCAGACTTTGGCCCACAGCCATTTGAGAACAGTTGCGACTTCAGCATGATCGAGCAAATGGCGCAAATGGTGCAGGTGATGCAGCAGACGGAGCAGATGGTGAAGATGCCGATCCCTCTCTCAATGGAAACTTGAAACAACCATCTATTCATGACATGAAGTGCACTATGCCACTATGCCCTAAAGCAAGAAAGAAGGAAAGAAACACTGAAGAAACTCTTTAAACTAGTGTAGGAGTAAATCCTTGCAAATGATCTGGATGGCTCTTTAAAAACGTTTAAGAAAACAACAACAACAACAACAACAACAGTTCAACAACAGCAACAGCAACAGCAACAAGAGCAAGAGCAAGAGCAAGAGCAACAGCAGCAGCAGCAACAACAACAAGAACACCAGCAGCAGCAACAACAACAACTCCGCCTTTTCCACCAGGCGGCAGTGCTCAAGCACAGCTCTGCGTCTTCGGAAATGGTTTCCAGGCATCTATTGAATTTCAGGTCGTCTCCTTGTTTGCCATTGAAGTGACTGTAAATAGTTTGTGTTTCGACATATCCACTCCAACAGCAACTCTTGGAACACTCCAATACATTGCCTTGCCAAGCATCTTGGCGCATCCAAGTAGACAACGTTTGCCATGATGGTTGTGGTTTATTACAATCCAACTGATAGCAGATTTCCTGCAACGAAGGCCTTAAGCAAGCTGCAATTACAATATCATGCTTTAATAAGGTGCAAAAGAGTTGAAGAGTATTGAAAAATAAGTATTGCAGCACCAAAGTGTTCTGCGTTGCAAAAATTGCAGGTTGCTGCGAGCATGAGCCAAAGAATGCACACCCCTGAAGCTACACAAACAGGGTCATGGCGCACAAACCATGCACAAACGGGAGGCGCAACTTGAGGGTTCTTGGTTGACTTTGATATATCGGAGTTGTTGACATGTGATCCACGCACGTACTTCTGTTTTGCACTGCCTTTCCAAGTCCATTGTAGAATGGGTTGGTCGCTGCATCGATGTAGAGCAAGTTCAGTTGCCTTGCAAGTCCAAAAAGGTCCAAAAAATATTACCTTCGGTACTTGATTTATGCAGCGGCAGCGGTGAGGAGAGGAATCCGTCCTCAACATCGACCGAAGGATAGCTTCTTCATCTCGCCTCTTTTGGCATGCCTCATTGGGCCAAAAGGCAAGAATGGCAATCATGGATGCTTGCAAGATTGACAATGCTTCAGTACATGTCTTCAGCAATTACTGGACATTGTCCTGCTGGTTCATACAGGGTGGACCTGTTTATTGAATCTCTCCAAGCTCTCAGCCCCGTCCCGTACAATGGCCAACACCTACAGAAACTGTGTTCCGGCATGAGCAGCGTCACCAGGGTTCCTGTTGTACCAAGCCTTGATACGTGTCGCTGCAACATATCCATATATGTTACAGTCCTGCGGGCGGTCGTCTGCAGCATGTCCCCAAACATGCCCAAACTTCATGCTATTCTTTCTTCCTACAAAGCGCAGTGAATTAAGGAAACTGTGCATCAGGAAACAATGCTTCTGCATCAAGCTGCATAGTCCTCGGCATCGAAAAGGGCCGGCGAGAGAATGCCCAAGTAAGGATCAAAGCTTTTGGCCTGAAAACTCGTCGCACACCCGCAGCCGCACAGCAAGTTTCTGGACAAAACATCCCGGACCCCTCAACGGTGAATTTGCGGATCCCATGTAGCCGCCTCTCCTTTTTGAAGTGCCTGCGCTACATGTTGTAACTGCGCCTCCCACAGAGGCTGGTGGGCACAAGCCATAGTCTTGGTGCAACATACAACTAATAATTGCTCTTCCGATGTTATACTTGTGTTTTCATCTGTTATCTAAGCTTCCAAACATTCCAACCTCTACTTGATCCAGCGACGAATGCAGAAGGAGCTGGAGCCTCTGAAAATCTCAGAAGGAAATGAAGCCACATGCATCCACGTGCTGTATGTTTTGCGATTCTGCCCTTTCAAATGACACATGTATGTAAACGTGCTCATGTGTCTCCATGAGTGCGTGGATTCATGGGTGTGTCATGTTTGTATGCCTCGGGGTTGATCTAAATCGAAGGTGTGATAGCGTCGCAAACGAGGTGAGTCCTCCACTAACAGCAAACTCTGTTGTTGTGCACGAAGAAGTGATCCGAAAAACCTCACACTCAGATCGTTTTCAATCCCAGTGTAGCTTGCTCTCCACTGTGTTCCTCTCAGACCCATGTGCTGCTTTTTGGCGCGCATGTGTGTGTGTGTGTTTTGTCTGGGAGCGCAGGATGCCTTGAACAGTGCGTGACTTTGTCTGAGTCTTGTCTTTTGTGATTGCTTCCACTCCTGTGATGTTGCAGTATTACATACTGTATAATGTGTTCTAAACATAAACATGTACAATTTATGCACGTTCATGGTACAACCACTGTATACACCACAAGTATGACGCGAACCCTGTACCTGAAGGAAGCATCACACATGGCTTGGCTTTGGGCTCCAGGTCATCTGCGTCAGGAGGGACGGACTGACGAGCGGCACGACAAACTGTGCAAACTGTCAAAAACATCTGTGAGGAACGCCACAGCAAACTGCACTCTAGTAGCACATCCCTTGATTTGTGCCCATTCACATTGATTCACTGAGAAAGTGCATAACAAAGTAGCCACGGATTCATTCTGGGGTCTCGAGCTCTTCGGAAGCTGCGAAAGAACAGAAGACCGCCATCACGTCCTTACTATGTAGTTGGCTGGCGGCTGATACAACGCCGCCAGCTTTTCTTCACGTTTTTGCTTTTCAGTTTGACGCTGCGTTGGGGATCGGGGTGGGGTGGGGCATGTTAACGTTCGCTGGCGTCACGAAGTTGATGCTACGTTGGGGGTGG